TGGTGGTCGGGTTGGGGGAGGCGGTGTCGGTGGCGGCGGCGCGGCTGGTGGCGGTTCGGGCGGCGGCGGGGTGGGGGCGGCGGGCTCGGGGGCGGTGGTCTGGGTGGTGGTGGTCTGGGCGGCGGCGGCCCGGGCTGCGGTTTTGGAGGTGCTGTCGGCTTGGGTGGCGGTCGCTCCGGCGGCGGGGGCCTCGGTGGCGGGGGTGCGGGCCGTTGCCCCGAGGGCGGCGGTGTTGCGGGCGCTCGCGGCGCGGGTGGCGGGGGCGCGGTCGGCGGCGGTCTCTTTGGAGGGGGTGCGGCTGGTCTTCGCGCCGGCGGGGTCTTGGGCGGGCGCTGCCCTCAGCGGTCCGGCGGCTTCCGGGGTGGACTGGTCGCTTTGCGGCTGGCCCTCGGGGGCCGGGGTCCTAGCCAGGGTCCCTTACCCCTCCTCCAGCTCTCTCTCGGCTTAGGCTGCTCGGCCGGCCCGCTCCCCCCGGGGAGGGGAGGCCCTCCTCTAGCTTCGGGGGGAACTCCAGCCCGGAAGGCCCGACCCAGCAGCTGAAGGGCAACCCGCTTCAGCCTGGCCAGGGCCAGAAGCCAGCCAGGGGGGAGGTCCCTCGGCCCTTTCGCCCCCCCGCCAGGGGAGGCCCTCCTCCAGCTTTGGGGGGACCCCCAGCCCCTCAGGCCCGTCTGAGCCGGCCAAGGGCCACCCGGGCAATCCAGCCAAGGCCCTACTCAGCTGGGCCAGGGCCACCCGGCGGAGCAAGGTCAGGGCCAGAAGCCAGCCCCGGGCAGGCAAGTCAAGTCCAAGAAGCAAGCCAGGGGGGAGGAGCCAAGGTCAGGGCCAGCCCGAAACTAGGGTCGGAGGAGCGAAGGAAAGGGAAAGGGCCAGAAGCTTAAAAGGGGGGCTGAGGCCGGCGGAGTCAAGCGAGGGAAGGGCCAGAAGGAAGAAAGGCTGGAGGAGGGCCAGATCCAAAAAGGGGTCAGGAGGGAAGGTAAAGGAAGGAAGTCAAGGGCTAGAAGGAAGAAGCGGCCAGGAGGCGAGTAAAGGGCCAGAAGAAGAAAAAGGGGGGAGGAGCCAAGGAAAGGGAAGCAAGCCAAGGGCAAGAAGGGAGAAAGGGGGCAGCAGGCCAGGAAAGGGCCAGAAGGAAAAAAGGTTGCAGAAGGAAAAAAGGTTGGAGGTGCCAAAGGAAGGGAAAGGGCCAGAAGGAAAGGAAAGGGCCAGGAGCGAAAAAGGCGGGAGGAGGCGAGGAAAGGGAAAGGGCCAGAAGAAAAAAAGGGGGGAGGAGGAAAGGAAAGGGCAAGAAGCAAAAAAAGGGGGGAGGAGGAAAAAGGGGGGAGTTTGAAAAATGATCGCACCGGGAATCGAGCCCGGGTCGCCTCGGCCACGACGAGGAGTCCTGACCACTAGACTATGCAATCGGGAGTTCGAACCGGCAGCCACTCGATGGAGGGGCGAACCACGAATCGAGAGCCGCTGGGAATTCAAAAGATGACAAAAGAGGCGAGGCGCCGCCTCATAAAGGAAGAGGAATCAAAAAAATTTGGAGGTGAGGAGAGAAGAAAAAAAAAGGTTGGGGGGAGGGAGTTCGGCCCGCTGTCGCCTCTCTATCCCTGCGAGGGGTGGGGGGCGCCAGCGCCCTCCCACCACGGCGTGTTCATGTTCACCCCGGGGGGCGAGAGCCCCGACTGCGGGCACAGGTTTCCTTCTTCATGGAGGGTGGACTTCGGCGCGAGCTCGGGCGTCATGACCGCGCCCGTGAACAGCGCCTTGACCTTGTCCGGGGCCGACGGGCTTGACAGGCCCTCGGGCTCGGCCCTTCCCTCGACGGCGGGGGGGAGCTTCTCTGTGCGCGCGGCCTTTGCCTTGCGGCCGCTCGACAGTTCCTGGTCTCCCTCGATCTCCATAGTAGCGCCTCTTCACGACCAGCACGC